CGAGCTGGGCTTCTTGTTGTCGCTCAGCTCCGTTCTAGCTGTGAAAGCATGCGGTGATCGCCACAGGTAGTGGACTTGCGAAGCCGGTCTTAAGCCTGGCAGGGGCGTCCAAAGAATGCTCTGCACTTGCTCCGGATGATGACAGTGCCAGCAGATAACATGGCAATGGCATGTAATGCCAGTGCCGCGATGAGAAGGTGAGGGTAGTGAATGGCACACGCCGGTTGGTCACGCAATTATATACTTGGGACGGCGCTGATCCAATTATGATGGCTCATGACAACCAGAAATTTTCTGACCGGTGACCATGGTGATGTTGAGCATGAATACTTAGTACTCAGCTGCATGCCGACAACCTGCGGCAATCCCAGAATTTTTTGGAATTTCCCCCTGAGGCCCTACGAGCTTTCGCTCGGCCAGGTACCGAGGTTATTCCGCGAACTACTAGAATTGCCCGTACCAGGACAGGCTGATCCACAAAGCCTAGGCCTAAACTCAATGAAGTTACGTGTTCTGAATTCCAGAAAGTCCGGACCTCAACCCATCCTGGCAATCAGCAGATCCGCAGTTGTCGCTGCTTGTGCGCTCTCGTGGGTTCATGTTGTGCATGCCTGGCTGCACATAATCGGCTTGGCCCAAACCCTGACTCCAAAATTTCTATACTAAATTGACTGACTTAGGTCGTGCTTAAACTTCGAACTTTGACGGTAGACTCTCAACCTTGAAATGATGCAGATAAACATCCTCGATAACCATGTTACTGCTGCTTCCAGTTACTGTATCGCACCTACCCGACCACATACTTGAGTATCAGTCCTCTCTAACCCAACTCATAAAGAGCGCAATTCTTAGCCAGTACTAGGACACAACAGCTCCCTCCTTCACTGAACAATGTATTGGATCCTCGGGCTATGAGCCTAGAAGCGAGGAGTTTACTGGTGTCTAGCACTGTCTACAATACAACTGTCCAAAGCCTCTAACCCTAAACCTCAGAACTACGTTTAGGGTTTAGGGTTGCGAGTTCTTGCATCAAACGCTGAAATTCGAAAAAAACTCCTAGGCTTTAGCTGCAATCGGCATTCTCAACAGTTTCCGAGATACTCCGGGGTGCGTCTTAGACCTTTGCTACCAGTACCAATTGAAGTTGTAAAACCGCACCCTCAAGCTTCGCTCCAGCTGCGACTCCAGCTAATCAAAGCCTGAGAGACCCCATGGGGCGTTCGTGCCAATGGCGTGACGATGTGTGCCGTCTGGTGTACCATGACTTACTATGGTGTAGGGGTTGAGGGCTGGATGCTACCAGTTGCCAGAAATGGCTCAGTATCACTGCAATGTTGCTCATTCTTAACAGCAACAGCAGCAACAGCAGCGGCAGCGGCAGCAGGCGCAGTAGTAGTAGTAGTAGTAGTAGTAGTAGTAGTAGTAGCAGTCGCAGTAGTAGTAGCAGTAGCAGTAGCAGTAGCAGTAGCAGTAGCAGTAGCAGTAGCAGTAGCAGTAGCAGTAGCAGTAGCAGT